TTTGAGTCCTACACACTGGACTGTGCGGGGTTCAAGTTATTTTGTCAGTTGGCGACCTCCAAGCCACGGCTTTAGCGCGCCGTGATAGTCTCAGATCGCACAGGCAACAGAGGAGTCTATGAGCACTTTCCACTTGGGAGGTCCTGATTGCGTGCTTGCGTTGGGCAAGGTCATGTGCGATCTAGGCGCTGGTAAGAAACGATGTAATGTGATATGGCCCGCGGTGTTCCACCGCTGGCTTAGATGTTGGCGCATTTGGCCGAATACGTCCATGCAGGGACTGAAGGTGGGCAGTTGAGGCGGACGTGTGTTAGTGTTCCTGGTAATGGTTTACTAGTCTGTGCGATGGATTTGCAAGTAAATGAACAGGCTGACACGTGACTCGCATGTGAGGTGGCAGTGTGAGCAGGATGGGTTGGAAGCGGCAGCGATGTTAGTGATGACCGCGCTGGTGGATGGGAAGTGCTTGGCATGTCGTCATTGCGGTGAATATCGCGTTCGTGGATATGCATGTGAGCGAGTACGTCCATGCGGTTAATGAGCAGAAAGTAAAATGGATGCGTCTATTGCATGCAAGGACTCCAGGCACAAGTCAGTGAGGTGGGTTCGCAAGTGGCCGACTAGGTCAAAGCATGAAGTGAGTGTGTGATCGCAAAGACGACAGGTTGGGATCCAGTCCTCATTGTTGGTGGTGGCAGTGGGAGACATGGTGTTGGCGTCGCTGAGGTTGTGGCATGGCGCAGCCGAGACACATACGACGTTCTTATAAACTCACAGAATTAATAAACTTGGCACGACTGCGTGCAAAACACTCAAAACTTAGTTCCTATCCGTATTTCCAATCGCAAAGGAGTTGGAAAAGGTAACGAACCCCTGCATTGTTTTCAACCCAGCACATCGGAAAAATTTGACCTTGTTAGCCGATTTTCCTCACGACCTCACCAAAGTAAAAGGAGCAGTGGGCGCGCTGATTGAACGAAAATGTAAATCCGATTAAAAACTGATAATCTATATCGCACGGACAACTGATCAGCAATTTTCCGACTGGACGAGGCTCGATAACTGACGGTAAATAAACGCAACCGCTGAAGCACAGCTGAAACCCCCCCTGTGTGTTGCTAGTTACGAGCTAAACCCGAACGTTCAATTCGCTCTTCCGTCGGCGCCCAGG